ACAGAAACCAAATATCTGCCTATGCCAGTCGTACTATACAACACCGAGCGCAGTAGCGAACTGTATATAACATCGCTTAGACACGGCACATTTTCTATGGTGCAATCTAGACATGGTAGGAAAATTCAACAATAAGGTAGCAATTCGAAACTGACCCTGAACAGGACGTGCGAATGAGATAAGCGGTAATGACTTTGCGAATAGAATCAAATAATAAAAATGAGATCAAGCGTATAGTCAGATAGCATTTTACGTGCTGTACATCGAATTCAATAGTTGTAAAGCTTTGGTCAAATGGACCGATGGAAAAATCTTGAAAACGCACAAACATAAACTGACGTAAGAAAAGCAAATGGCAGAAAAATATTCCGTACAGAGTGTAAGGCAGAAGAACCGAATGCCAAAGATAAAATACATGGGACAATCGGTAAGATCACACACATGCTCAGCAATAAGATCATGAGTGTCGAGCTTAGAACCAAAAATATTCAACGATACGAGTTGTGACACACGAATGGATGTGATGAAACCTGCCTAAAGGAGCTAACAGAAAACCCTATTTATCAGCATAGTCAAGACGGGATAAATAAATAAATAGTATAAAACAGATAAATACGATTATACAATAACTAGAATAAATATAGAAGACATTACAGAAAAGATCATAGGTAAATGAATCAAAACTGAAACAGTACAATACTATGTTACACTGAACATATCGTAGTGCTAAAGGACTGCCTCCAGGTCTCAAGGGTTCTCGCTGAGCCTGAGACAATGGAATTTCTAAGCAATTCATTTCGAGAAGATAAGCTGAACAAGAATAACCTACCCTACATATGAATACCGTAATACATTAAAACAGAAGACCCACATGCACAGTCCAGTGAAAATTAAATAACACTCTTCTCTTCAGGAAGCAGCGTCGAAATCCCGGCATGAAAGGCTTTCGATTTTTACTACGTTTGTTTAACGACAGTATTACCACCACAAGTTCTTTTTTAACGAATGCTATGAAGGTGCATAGAATTTACGGCGGAATATTCAGAATATAAAGTTGCTATTTTTAGAGTATAGAGCTCTTTAGCCAAGCATAGCCATCATAACTGTAAGTTCAGTTCCTCTGATAGAATCCAGAAGTTGCGAACATAGCAAAATACAGTACGATTAAATGTGTGCAGGTTACACTTTCTAATATGAAAATATATCACTTTATTTTATCAAAAATAAGCGCAATTAGACTGTTATTAAGCATGGTCTGCTTGTTGCACTTTTAAATTTTATTTTGGTCACAAAATTTTTTTGCGTGTTTGCGTTGACCTTGCAACGCATTAGAAGATACTTTTCTAGCCCATGTAATATAGAACCTGCATGATTGACTACGGTCTATAGCTGAATGTTTATCTTACCTCCTGCAGTTAGATCTCTCTTCTCTGCTTTGCTTTAATTCACTTGCAGTAGCTTTGACTCATGATTACTTATGCGTACCATCTGTTATATAGCTGATAAATGAACCAAGCGGTGATTGCATTTAAGCCATCATAAACTTTCAAATGTCGAATACTCTTTGCTAGTTTTTCACTCGACACCAATTATATTTTTCCGAAAGAATTGCATGCTTTTCTAGCCTAATTCAGCAGTGTGGAATTTCTATCACAAATTTCAGTAGAATTTTTGTTCCGCCATCATTTACGTCATTTTAAAGTCGTTCGTATATCGTTAGATGGCAATATTTTGCTGTGTCAAGTAGGAAAGGTGATATTATCATTCTATTACAGTTTTCAATTTTACTGCCAGTTTTATCGAAAGATTGTTTTTCATAGGATATTTTAAATGAAACACTGTTTTCCGCTATGGTTGAATGAATCCTAAGTGTATGATGTGGCTATGAAGCATGAGATCGAAAGTGGAAAGTAAGTTTTTGCCAAGCTAACTGCAGTCCTATATATCAGTCATCGGAGTCGCCATGAATCCGACGAAAGATCATATGCAGCATCAGCCGACGGTTATTAATACTAATCAGCATTCTTTGGAGCACAGTGGCAGAACACTCTAAGGGGACCTTAAGTTCAAGTGGCGCATTCGGGTCCCAGCATAGAGTACATATTGCTTTATCGTCATCAAAGGCTAATAAAGCTTAAACGGCAGAGTAACTCAAATTTATAGTGTCTGACCGAAAGATGTATGCTGAAGT